GAGGAAGCACCATGGATCCCTGAGAAAGACTCCTGAGGTAGAGACAATCTGTATACAAATTTGAATATGTACCCATAGTACTGTCTAGGTCCAAGTCAAGCTTAGAATGTCTCCTCTGGGGGAGCAGGGTGTGGTTTCAGTTTTGAGAAGCAAGATCATTCAATTTTCAAGTTACTCTAAATTTTATTCTTTGATAAAATCAGATCAATCTAGAGTTGAGTAATTACCTGACACCAATACAGGTCATCACAGGATTGCTTTACTAAGCTGCTTGCCTTTAGGTTATAATAAGGAACACTGTTATATAAACTGCTTGTGAAACATGGCACATTTTTGTTAGTATGCCCATGAGACTATTTATTTTTGTCAGTTGCATCCTCTTTATAAGGAAACCCAGTCTTTCTATAGGAAATAACTGTGCTTCATTTAAGTATTTGGTTTGTTTTTACCTCATGAACAGCATGAATTTTGTACTAATTGTCCAGACCTTTTTGACTTGGCCACCAGGAAGCTTAGTCAGTTCAATGAAACTCATCTAGTTTGTGAACATAATCTTATAGCATGAATGTTGTATGATCTTTTTATTCAGGTTTTATCTTAATTTTGCCCATCCTTACATTCTTTTTGCCCTGATTTCCTCACTTTTGTTTTGGTTTTATTTTGTATTTATTATTATTATTTTTTCAAATATGTCTTCATTGATTTCAGAGAGAGGAAGGGAGAAGAAGAGAGAGATAGAACATCAATGATGAGAGTGTCATTGATCGGCTGCCTCCTGCACACCCCCTACTGGGGATCGAGCCCACAACCCCTGCATATGCTCTGACCAGGAATCTAATTGAGATCTCCTGGGTCCTAGGTCGATGCTCAACTGCTGAGCTACCCCTGGCCAGGCTATTTTGTATTTATTTTTATTAATTATGTTTATTTTCCTAGGCAGCCTCAGAATCATTTTAGAATGACTCACATATAAACAAGTAAAAGTTTATAAATAAATTTGTGATGATGTGATGTGTCATAATCTTGATATGAGAAGGAAAAAAAAGCAGATTAATTTTAGTTCATCTCAAAAGAAAAAATATTTCTATGTCTCTTCAACTGTTGAGTACAGTTTTGAAAAAGTTACATTTTATACTTTTTATCTTAAAAGAATCTTGATCACTCATTAGCTAATTAATTTTAAGTCCATTCATTTTATTTGTTTTTAGATTAGGGCCTGTGTACCTGTGTTGTACTAATGAATAAAAAGTGGGTTAATATTCTTATTTAAATGTGTACTAATTATGTAGAGACACACATCAATCAGCCATCAGCTACATTTCTCGAAAAATTGTGTTTAAAGAAAATATAAGTTTTCCACTGTTTCTCTGCTTTCTAAATGGAGATCAGTTACTATTTACAGGTAATTTAAAAGTGATTCTTCAGAATTAAAACAGGTAAGCTAAAATAAGTACTTTTTTTTAAATCCTCACCTGAGGATATTTTTTCCATTTCTTTTCAGAGAGAGTGGAAAGGAGAGAGAGAGAGAAACCTTGATGTGTCTCACATCAGTTGCTTGCCTCCCCGGGGCCAGGGATTGAGTCTGCAACTGAGGTACGGTGCCCTTGGCCAGAATCAAACCTTGGACCCTTCAGTCCGTAGGCCAACACTCTAACCACTGAGCCAAAACAGCTAGGGCTAAGTACATTTTAAACTTAACTCAAATCCAAGTATTTTACAAAGATAGTATCTGGAGAAATTTATATAGTGGTGCTATGAGTAAGAAAACCTGCCACAATACATAATGCTCTGCTTTTAAAAAATTCTTCATTTTAAATGTGATTATAGGCAAGACAATCCTCTTAATAGCTGTTGATTATCTTAGTGAACCACCAGGCATACTCCTTATGATAAAATTAAATTAAGCAGGGAGGAAATTACTGAGAATTATTTAATGCTGATACATCTTTTAAGTAGTAAATTTTTAATATGCGCAATGTCGTGCTCAGTGTCTTTGAGGATCTTTTTTTCTGAGAGGGTAATAAGATGTGGGTCTTGCTACTATAGCTGTAGGATAATTTTTGATTATTTGAATCTTATATTGTTGAATGCCTACTTTTAATGTAATGACAAAACAAAACAGAACAAATAAAATATGATTCCCTGAATGAATCCTCTTGGCTTAGAGGATTAATTCTGTTATTTATAGAACACTCACAATACAGCAAATATTATTCTGGATAATGTGTAGACTTTCTATTCAGGGAACTAAAAATCTCGAGCAGGGAAAAAAATGCATCAGGTTCAAGAATGGTCACAACAGAGTCCCACATTTTCAAAATAGCTCTATATAATTCTCACTCCTTTTATTCTAATTATTATCCTGGGAGTAGCTGAGGTGGGATGGATTCCTTTTTGGGGACAGCTGCATTCAGAGACAAAACGGCTTTCCTGTAAGATGTATGAGCAGGAGCTGATAAGGAAGGTAGTCAGTTTTTGAGAAGGCCATTTCAAAGCTCAGTAATACCAGATGACTGCGGATGGTTGCGAACAGGAAAGGTTCATTGAATACCTTGCCGAACAGCTCATTGTTGACTTGCTTTTGGGCTATAAAGCACATCACTGTCAGACTGAAAATGGTCCAGAAAACAAAACACATGACTCAGATTAATTTCATGGGCCGTACTGTTGCAAGTAGAGCTGGCAGATCAGGCTGGAATAGCAATTCCATAACTTGAAAATGTGGCAACATTGGTGAGGCACCATTAGTAGCTCTGAGAGGGGACAAAGGTTCGAGTTAGTCAGCCTGCCGGAGCATGGAGCAATGTCTTGTGTGTGATGTGTCCTCCCGCGTCATGAGACAGATGGGTAAGCTTTTGACAGGAGTCACAGTTTGGCAGTAGCCTCTGCATCAAAAACATAAGAGTGCTTTACTTTGTGCGTTGTCTGTTATGGTGGGTATGTTGCCATGTCTGGGACAATGATGGATCCAGGCTGCGATGGTGGCAATCTGAATGGTTCAGGCTCAGATTCCAGGTATTCTCATTAGACAAGGGACCGTACATGAATTACCCAGATGGCTCATTCAGTAGCCATGATTTGTTTCCATAGTTTTCAGACTTAAAAAGTCTGTAGTCTTCCAGTGTCTTTAATCTTCCAGTCTGTAGCTTTCCAAGTGGCAAACCAAGCAGGCAGACCGTTGGCAACAGTCCAAGAGTCAGTAAAACTGTAACAGGTTAATCAAGGGGAGTGTTGGCCAGAGTGGTGAGGATGGCCTTGAGTTCTGTTCACCGAGTAGAGTGACCGTGTCTGTTTTTGGTCCTTGGTAGCTCTCACTGAGGTGCAAAGCCACAGTAGCCCAGTGAAGACCCCTAGCTTTCAGGTTAGTGAGTGAGGCCCAGGCAGCTGGGGAGCCTCTGTGAATTGAGGGTCCTATTGAGGCAGTGGCTTTTGCATCAGGTAGCAAAGATGAATCAAGTTTTTCCCCAAAGCATTGCTGCCTTTTTTCATGTAAAGCTGAGATGTTCCTGGGGTCAGACCAGCTGCCTTCTGGAATATACCATTACCATTTCACAAATGAGGCTTGTTAGGCCCCTTCTATCTTGCTAATCATTGGGTCCAAGTTGGCTCACTTCAGCATGCGTATCAGTCTGGAAAGTTGCAAGGCCTCCATGGGTCAAGTGTTCAGTTTCAACAAGAGCTCAGTAACTGGCTAATAGCTGCTTTTCAAAAGCTGTATATCTGGTAACCAGGTGAGGGGGGCAATGAGTCCTAAACCTCCAGGGGCACCTTCAAGTGGAAATTGCCTGTCTTTTCCAGAGGCTCTGCGTGGCAGACTCATTAGTCATGGAGACTTGTAGCTCAAAGGGGTCATTAGGGTTGTGGGGCCCCAAAGGTAATAGCAATTCTGTACATGTGACTGTTCTTGGTCGTAAGTACCTCTGGCTCTTAAGAACATTCCCAGTACAGGCACATAAAGTATCAGTATCACTTACCCATTTAGCAGTGGAAGCCACAGAAATACTCCATTGCTAGCTTTCCTTCCCCACATCAAACAAACCCTGCCCGCCCCCTCTCGCTGCATCCAGACCTCTCCTCCGCCTGCAGACTGAGTAGGATGTTGACTTTGGCACCTGTATCCAAAGAAGCCACGAAAGTTTGAGTCTCTGCTCCACTGAAGTTCCATAGCATACTTGGACAGATGCATGTGGCCTTTGATCCCCCTTGGGGACAAGGAGACCTTAGTCCCACATTTAGTCATTTTTCTTCTTAGAGCTGCTGAGGTTGGGGGGTGGGGAGGGAGAGAGTGGCTCTGCACAGCTGAGTAAGAAGCATATACTTTCAGTTTTGAGCAGTATGAGTGGCAGCAGGCAGCTCAAAAAAAAAACAACCCACCAAAGTTGTCAAGCCACACAAAGCCCTATACTGGGCAGCAAAGTCATTGCTATTGACACCGTGTATTTCAGTTTTGAAGATCCCCTTGACTCAACAGCCACAGCCCACGTTGCTTTTCCGCTAGGGCTGTGGGGTTTGCATTTTTGGTTGACTTGCATCTGCAGCAGAGGCTTTTATAAAGGGGTCTACTTTAATCCAGGGCATTTCTAGCTCCCTTGTCAAGATAATATGTTTTAATAGAAACACACGCACACACAAAGATGCTATGTTTTAAATTCTCATTCTGTTTCAACATAAGGGTTAGGGATATTTTCCAGGCCTACAGATCTGACGACAGGAATTTATCTAGAATTACTGGGTCAGTTTCCTGGTCTCTAGGGATCACCTTCATCATTATAAATCCAACCCTGGGCCTACGCGCTGAATACTAGTCAACATGTCACTCATGGTTTCCCGTGTCTGTCTCAGAGAAACTTTTCTTTTTTGTTTGTATATTCTCCTGTCTCTTTGTTTTTCTTCTCCTACTAGTCGTCCTTCTTCTTTTTTGTTTTGTTTAGTTTATATTTTGTCTCAGAGAAATCTCTCTGCGAGGGCCAAAGCCCCCTTACAGCAGCCAGGACCCAGTGCAAACCTACTCAGATCTTTTACTGTCACCTTCCAATGGATTTGAGGTTGGCTTAACAGACTGCAGGGGGCTATGAGCGGTAAGACGTTCCAACTCCTGCCATTCTTCCTTAACAAGTGTTGTGTGCTCTGCCCCCTCACCTCCCAAGTGAATCAGCCAGTTTCTGCCCAGGACCCTCATAAATTTCCCTCCTATCCCACGCAGTGTAAGGGTTCCTGTATTATTAAACTGCTCCCTGAAAGGAGGCAGAGACTTCCCCCTTCCACCCTACTGGGATGAACCTTAGTGCTGATTGTGACCATGGGGGCTGGCTGCCCGGATCGGTGGAAGGCCCCTCTTGCCCATAGGAGTGTTAATAACAAGCAGGCAACTGTCTTTGAATCCACCTCGGCTGGCAGCTACTCCCCCAGCTCCTCCTCATTGCCAGGTAGTGGAGTGGAGGCCTACTCCCTGCCCAGGTGGGGCGCCAGAGCACTTTGAAAGCATGGGTCAGATGAAATGGCAAGCATGGATCCACGGTCACATCTGCTCAGTGTAAACAGCACGATTTAAATTTTTAAAAATTATTAAATAGAATCAACAAAGATTCTGAGCCACACCCTGTTCCAATGAGGGTTGACATTGCTGACTGCGCCCGTATCAGGTCGACGCAGTGAAGACCAGTCTCACTTACTATTTGACTCCTTTTGTGACAAATAAGACACATTCACTGAGTTTACGTGAGAGGACACTTTCTTTTTGCCTTCACTGGTATAAGAAATGTTGATTACCCTGCCCTTGAAGACAATGCTCACTTCATCTTTTCTTGCTAACAGAAGGGAGATGGAGTGATAGATAAAGCTGAGCTTCAGGAAGCCTGTGACCAGGCCAACTTGCACTTGGATGAGAAGCTCCTGGACCAGCTATTTGACTACTGTGATGTGGATAGTGATGGGCTGATTAACTACCTGGAATTTGCAAATTTTCTTAACTGGAAAGATACAATGCCTCTTAAAGATTATGAAGAGAAGGTTGTCATTAAAGGTAATTTTTGAAGCTTTGTTAAGTTCTTAAATGGACTTTTATATTTTCATTTTTCTAGGAGTTCATCTCTACTTTAGTATTATGTATTTAAAATTTTATGCACATTTATACATATTTATTTATTTGCTTGTTTATGCATAGGCTATCTGTAGGATAGGAAAGAATTTGACAACATTTGTTATTTCCAGGACGAGGGAACTGGGTAGCTGAGGGATAGGGTAGCAACAAGACTCAGTTTTTTCTTTGTTTATCTTTATTGTTGAAAGAATTACAGATGGCCCCCTTTTTTCCTCTCAATGACCCCCTCCACCATGCCCCCGCCCCCAAGACTTTTTAATCTATGTTTTTGTATCTTTTGAATTTTATTACTCATTTAAGAGGAAAAAAAAATCAAAAACAAAAAAATTTATTCAGAGGCCCAAAATATTCAGAAAGCTGTTTGAAAACCGTTTATAAAGTAATTAGCTCTCCTTCCCCAGGGAAAGTGAATAGTAAAGTAGAATTTGACAAAGAAAAATTTAATCTTAATTTTTGTAAATAAAAACAATAAAAAATAAAATAATTTTTACCTTTATTCAAATATTTTCATGCTTACATATTCTATTCCTGCATCACTAATCATACATAGATATACATATATGCATATTTGTATGGTTGTATGCATATATTTAAGCATAGCTAAAATCACAGCGAATATACCATTTTTTATTTATTTTTAAATTTAACTTTCAAATTTCTATGGAATGAAGAGATACTTTTATGGTTTCTCTAAACTTCATTTTCAGTTCCCTTATGCTGTTGTATTATGAATTACTAAACCATTTCCTTACTCTTTGAAATTTAGGTTATTTCCAGACAGTTTTAAAGTAATACGGGTAACACTATAACAATTATCATCTCTCAAAAAGCTTTCTGTTTCTAATTATATCTCATTTATCGTGAATGCTATTATTATCCCAGAAGTAACTATATATATTTTTGATTTGCCTTTCTAAATGATTTTACCAAATTGCAGCTTTATCAGCCAAGGCCGAGAGACAATTTTACTCCAACCGTGTTCCCACTGAGTTGTAACTTCAAACATTCTTGTAATTTAGTTGGTATGTAATGATGCATCATTTGCTTTAATTTTTAAATCTTGATTATTAGAGAGGATTGACTGTTTAAAAAGGTTGTTTACATTTTTTCTCTCTTCTAAAAAGTGAAGATACTACTGTTTTTATTTTTATTCCTTGGTCATCCCTTCCTGCATGGCCAAAACCAAATTTTGGGCTGTATTGATGACATGAGCCCTTACAAGTTTCTGGGATGGCCTTTCTAGTGTGCCCCGTGGGGAAGCAGGAGAATCTTCCCTACCTAATGAAGCTCTCAGAAATATGGGGTGTTTTATTTCTCTTCTTGGCATAACTCATGAGTAATGGGGAAAGAGCAGAAGCCTGTTTTCAAACCAGGCAGTCTTTCATATCAGAATTTGGGGTCCTGATTTTATCAGCCATTTTCCATAGAATTGTTGAGATTCTTGTCTTCTAAAAGAGTGGCCAGTGGCTCAGAAAGAGCTCAGGAGTGATATTAAATCAAATCTATCTTACTGTTGACTTCTGGAGGAAAAGTGGGGAGTCAGTACTTTAAGACAGTGGTTTTAGAACAGTTTTCTGAGGAACTGGTTTTCATACTTTGAACAGATTTCTGCATTTTTGTGTGTGTGGGGGTGGGGTGGGGGCAGGGAGGGATAGAGAATCTGGAGTAGGCCTGAATGCTTTCGTGGCAACAATTGGCAGGTGCTGAATGGGGGGATGCAGACTTTACAGAGGCATGTCTTTTCTGGTTTGCCACCGCTCCTACCCCACTCTCATATTTGGGCACCATTTGCCTTTGCAAACCTAGCTTGGGCTTTTCCAGAACTGAGAGTTCTTGCAGAGCTCGAAAGACCACAGCGCCCTCTCGTGCCAGCTGTCGAGTTACCAGCTCTGTTGGAAAGAACGTTAGGAGCATGATCCTAAGTTTCAGAATCGACTCAGCAAGGCAAATCTGCCAGACAAGTCAGAATCTTATCATTTCAGTTCTGTCTCAGGGTTTCCTTTTGTACACTTATTTGAAGGGAGTTATTTGTATAATCGGCTCCTGACCTCACAGTGAGTTCTCATAATTTCTCTAAATATTTCAATACACGAGGCTTCCTTCCATGATCAGGAATGCGTGGACTTGACAACTCTCGGTATGTCTTTTGCTATATCTCCCTAGGGCAGAGCCCTAGCAACAACTGTGGTAATCCTGTAGTTCAAGTTAAATATGAAAATAAGCTCTAATTTTAAAAAAGAGGAAAGAAAAAAATAGGTCCTATGCTTTTCATAGTTTCAGATTTAAAAGCTTTATTCTAGAATCAAGTGCATGGAATGGTGAAAAGAAACATTAGACCAGGTTCCAGGTTCCTGGGATGTTACATTGACCGAAACTTGCTCTTCCATGGTGGGGTGCTGGCGTCCGTGGAGGGTTTACACCAGCCCCGTCTCAGTTTCAACCAACAGGAAGAAACTAAATGGGGAAAATGACTTTGTTGCTGAGTTGTACGAACCAAGCAGTAATTTCTTCCTGTACATTTCCCCCCACCCGTCTTTGCTTAATAAAGGTAGAAAACCAAATTGTGCAAACCCTGCTGAGGCTAATGTTGAAGAATCTGAACCAACCCTCCTGATAAAGCCTGAAGATATTGTCTTAAAAGGGAGCTCAGAAAAGACTCTCCGGACACTTCTGAGGCCAAACGATAAAGTTTCCAGTCACTATAAGACCACTTCTTCTGCGATCAGCGCGGTTGTGGGAGCTATTCCTTCCATATGTGAGTATGTCACCATATTTGTTGAGGTTTAAAATGATCAGCAAACAAGGAAGTGACGTGTCCTTCATCTGTCCTTGCATTGTCCTCAGCCTCTATTTCCATGAGACTAAGTTTCTCAAAGCCTAAGATCTTTCATTTAATTCTATATCCAAGCACCCAGGGTATCTCGGTAAGTTTAGGCTGAACTGAGCTATTGTTTGTGATAATCCAAGTAAAAGGATTCTCTTTATATTAATGAACTCGAAAGAACACTGAATGGTATACATTGTAGCAAATCAGATATCACCGAGCTTTAGGAGATTTGTAAACCCCATGATTCTTAGCTACACACAGATTTTCCTTCAAATGTTCGAAGAACTCTTACGAAACGCTTCCCCCTATCTTCATTCTGCATCTGTTAGTTTGCTAGGGCTGCCGTAACAAGTACCACAGACTGAGTGGCATAAACACCGTCAATTTATCATCTCACAGTTCTGGAGGTTAGAAGTCCGAGATGAGGGTGTCCGCAGGGCTGGTTCCTTCTGAGGCCGTAAGGGAGGCTCTGTTCCCTGCTTCTCCCCTAGCTTCAGGTGGTTTGCTGGCAGTCTTTGGTGCCTCTTGGCTTCTGCTGCATCACCCCGATCTCTGCCATCATCTTCACATGGCGTTCTCCTGTGTGAGGGTCGGTGGCTAAATGTCCCTGTTCTCTAAGGGCCCCAGTCATAATAGACTAGGGGCCTCCTCCAATATAATTCATCTTAACTTAATTAATTACATCTACAATGACCTCATTTCCAGATAAGGTCACATTCTAGGTACTGGGGGCTAGAACTTTAACATGTAAATCTGGGGAAGATACAGTTTAACCCATAACACCCTATATCTCCGTATGGACCATGATGAATATTGGTTATTTAGAAAGTCTGTTTTATGTTGGTCAAGATCACTTCCTTTCCTTAGACTAAGGACATAACTAAGGATTTACATGTTGTTTGTAACTGGATTTTATAGACTTGCTATACATTCTGGTATATTGAGGTCTTGCTAGTATTTAGAATAGTGCTGTCCAATAGAAATATAACTGGCATTGTATGTACTTACATATTTTTAGTAGTCACATTAAGAAAAGAAAGCAAGTAACATTAATTTTAATAGTGTGTATATATATAGTATATGAAATGTATTTCTAAAATATCATTTCAACAAGTAATATAAAGTGATTAATTAAATAACTCACTTTTTTGGTACAAGAGCTTTGATATTCAGTATTTTACACATAGAGCACATGTCAATTCAGAGCAGCCACATTTCAGGTGCTCAAAATAACTGCATGTGGCTGGTGGCTGCTGTATTACACAGCTCAGTTTCAAAATGTGTGTTTTCTTCCCTCATTGATGTCCTAGGTTATCCCATCTATGGGGTCCCAACCATTCGGTCTGATATCCCTGCCCCCCGAATTCGCCGCATCAGTGACAGAACTAATTATGGTGAAGAAGGCAATGCCTATTCGTTACTGTATCCCACCATCTTCAGCCAGAAAGGAGTGTATGAAAGAGACTTCTTCCAACCCAGATCAAAAAAAGAGGTACAGCCTATCATTTCTAGGGGTGGAAAGAAATGCCCACTTTACATAAATGCACCAATATAGGAATGCTTATTTTTCAACAACTATTTAACTTAATATTAGGCTTTATAAAACCTGAGCTTATAAATTAGTCATCAGAGGTCATCAGGATCCCCAAATAAAGGATTCTTTAAAAAAAAATTAAAAAATCTTTATTACTTTCAAGGGAGAAGAAGAGAGAGAGATAGAAACATCAATGATGAGAGAGTCATTGATTGGCTGCCTCCTGCACGCCCCCTACTGGGGATCGAGCCCACAACCCGGGCATGTGCCCTGACCAGGAATCCAACCACGATCTCCTGGATCCTAGGTTGATGCTCAACCGCTGAGCCATGCCGGCCGGGCCAAATAAAGGATCCTTGAGGGAGATGTTCAATTTGGTTGTGACATTTTAGTAGGATTCTTGGGAGTGGAATTTACTATATGATAGTAAGCTTTACTTTCATGTCATATATTCACTACGGCCTATGATAAAAAGAAAAATGTTTCCCTAAAATGTTCCACAGCATTCTTAGTTGAAAAAAGGCAAAAAGGATCAATCCCTTCTTTGTGTAAGTTCTTGGATCTCCAGAACCAAAGAGTAAGCATGGAGAGGGCCACCCTGCCACCCTCCTTATGTACTGCTATCATGTCTCGGATGATCTGCAGTAGCACTGATTTAAATTACTCTGTCCTCACTGTGTCAGCCCATGTATCTTGTTTTTTGTTTGTTTGTTTCTCAGAAAACATGGCCCTCATATCCCAGGTGATTTTCTTCCCAGATGGGTTATAAAGCAGGAGCAGCCAGTTAGCGGCTGGGGTCAGAGGACCAAGGATTAATAGCAGTGCTTGGTCAGACCAGATGGGTTTGTGCTGTACCTGTGATCTAGCGAGTAACTGCTTCCTCAGAACCTTCACACCTGGAGGCAGAAATTATATGAATAGACATGATGCTTTCTGGGACTTCAGATGAAGGGCCGGTGGCTTGAAAACTTGCTAAATACTAAATTAATAACAGATTCCTTGCAACGATTCATGCTGCTGAGGTCGGGGAGACAGGAAAGAAGAAGCTCAGAGGTTGATGCCTCCTGGCTGGTTCTAAAGAAGGAAACCAGGATCTTCCCCAGTGGGTCAGAGAAGAGACACTCCTAGTCTCTGTTTTCACTTCCTTCAAACACTTCAAAGGGCCTGTGAAATAAAAGGTCAGGGTTGCCAAAAAAAATCTCCTGCTTGTTTTATGAAGCCTAAAATTCTTTGAACTAGGAAGTCATCCTTTATCTCACCATTCTAGATAAAAAGTAAGAACCCTCCGGATCCCTCCACGCTGGGGGGGTATCATGCTAAGTGAAATAAGCCAGTCAGAGAACGATAAATATCACGTCATCTCACTCATATGTGGACTCTAATGAACAAAATAAGCTGATGAACAAAATAGATCCAGAGACACGGAAGCATGGAACAGACTGAATCTCAGAGGGGAGAGGGGTAGGGGGGACAGGAAGAGATTAATCAAAGACCTTATATGCATATATGCATAACCCATGGACACAGACAATAGTGAGGTTGGCCTGGGGGTGGGGGTAGTAGGAGGCAGGGAAGAAGGGGTTAATGGGGG